TCGCTGAAATTGCGCAGCTTTGATACCACATAGCGGAGAACCTTTGGATGCGTCAGGAGCATTGCCTCGGCAGTTTTGCTAAGTTTAGAAGGCATCTGAATAATGGCAACTAACTATTGAATATGCCCACTTTGATACACGCGTTTCTTGAACCGTATAAGGTATCCAGATCTAATAAGACAAGGAAATACGTGTTCATGAAATTTAAAAAACCGTATCTTTCAATGGTGTAGAGTAGCTTGAGCATCCCCATTAAGTCTTCATCATAGGATTTCTGCCACGAGTCTTAAATCCTGTCTTATCCACTTAAATTTTCTATCACCTTCTGCTTTCTGTCTGATATGTCATAGCTTTAAAGGTTTGCTTTTGGGGCGGTCAGCTTATCTCCTTTCACCTGCTGCATCACCTAAAGATCATTACATTCTTCTTGGTGGCACTTCTTGGAGGAGAAGAAAGGCTGCGTGCTTCGATGCTTAAATGATTAGCCCAAGGGTATTTGGAGCCATATGCGTCGCAGGAGTTTCTTTATTCGAAAACAATTCGATTATTGAAATTGAGAGAGATGAAGTATCCCAGGACATGCTGTATGGCTGAATCTGACTTGAAGAATAATTAAAAGACAATGTTAATTTCAACCAACGTATACACACGGAACTCAGACTGCAAATTGCAAAGAGATATATTTTCAACATAAAGAGATAATTCTTTTCCGAAGAGATACATCCACATATTAGGATGTTCTATGATAAATACGGAACAAATCAGAGCTGGAAATTATCTTGCTCTTTCTATATTGACTGTGAATCTTCATGCTTTGATCAAAGTATGGACACTCGTCCACATCACAAGCTCCACTTATTTATTTCCATAGCGTGTGTTTACTCCAAGACAAGATTCCACACACTGTCTTCATGTCTATGAATAACACATCTTATATGCCTTTCAAGATTACCAAAGTATTACTGTACAGCCAAAAGTATACGAAGAAGCCAAAGAGTCATACAGAGATGAGACCAAAGGTTTATATATAGAAGAGATTTCAATTATGTAAGATATTGTACATCTTCGAACCTTTTCTTTCTTGGATTCAACTTTTTCTGGAATTTAACGTCATCTGCAAAAGCTTTGATAATTCAACACCACGTAAGGCGCTAACCTCCTTTCTCTCAACGCAAAATGCTTTCTCAGATCTTTTAGCGATGGAGGGGATTTATCCCTTTAACACTTTTCCCTATCCTGTCGGTGGTCTTCCTCCTGTTTGCATATCCAAATATTTACCAGATGTTTTCTTAGCTATGCATGATACATCTCATTTAATCTAACTTTCTTAAGCACATAACACATAATGAGAGATGTGAAATCACTATGTGCTTTGAGTCTACGAATAACTTTAAGCATGGACACCAACATGTGCTACAGAGGTAACTTTAGACTCAGACTTTTAAAAATTAAAATCAACTTTCTTTCTTTTATATTTCAGTTTTTAAAATAAAATAAAAAAAATTGATTATTCTATTGATTTGGTATTTCCATTTCATTAAAAAAATAAAAAATGAGTTCCACATTACAATGTTCCTCCATTTTATTCATCTTCGAGGGAAAATGTACTTTTGGAAAAGTAAATATTGTCAGAAAATAAATTTCATTGACATTTTTTTTGAATAACATCAATGTCAAAATTATTATGTTTTTATCTGGTTTAATGTATCTTATAAAATAAAACTCTAGTTTCTAATTGATTAGACAGTGTAGGTTTTCATATATATATATATATATACAAGAAAATTGAACCAAATTTTTTAGAACATCCGTTAGATATTGCAAGATACGAGAAGAATAATTGCTGCTTTCGATATATGTTTTGAACCCAACATAGATCGACCTATATTAGACAGTGTACGGTTTCATGGAACTTAATACTGTTTGAGTGGAAACTACTGCACTTGGGATTACAGTACTTGCTATGCAACCGGTACAAGCAAGGAATTATATGCAGGGGATCCTGGTAGCCAATGAAGTTCATACTGTTGTTTACCGATTTTAGTATTTTCACGACCTTCCGAGTTGTTTAATTTATCGGCCCACAGTTGTTTATCTGCATGTAATCAGAAGCGAATGAAATCATATTGAGGTGCATGTGGAATGGAGATTAGAATCACGTGCCCACGTGTATCCATGTGAAACGTAGGCATCATATGGTGTTGGTTTAAAGAATATGATATGAACTCAGATAATTTCCCTTTGACTTACCAAGTTACCATATTTCACGTTGGGACTTTGCATGTAAACCATTTGATTTCATCCTTGATGGGTATTCCAATCCTTTTTCTTATATCATTTTGTTCACCAATTAACAAATTTTCATGATTCCAGCACTTTGCTTTGCTACACTTTCCTTTTTTGTTACTCGACATTACCTCATAAGTGATGATTGGCTTGTGTGTTGTCTTCGGAAGGACTGTATGGGACCACGCATACGCAGTTCAGACCTCGATGTTGAGAAATTGTAGCCATATGTATCTTTAGATTGGATCAGGATTTGGAGGCAAGATCACCAGTTGTTGCTTGATCTCTCAGAAAAAAGACAGAAGTGTACACTGTGCGTATATCAGAAAAAGTTTTTTCAAGATAGGACAGGCAAAGAGAGCTCCTTCTTCAGAATACGGAACCTGATCGCTGAAATATCTATTAGTGGGATGCACATGAATAATCTTTTGGTATTTTGATTCCAATCTAATGATTCGGAATTTCATTCTGTCATGACCGGTCTGGCAAATTCTTTCATCATCACTACGCCAGTCTTCTATTGGTAAATCAGATGTTATCACTCAAAAAAATGACAGGAGTAGAACATTAGAAGGGGGCAAATGGCAGACGGGAAACGACGCAAAAATATCATTATGAGTTCATTGGGATTCTTCAAGCAGGATAACTGTTATCTACAAGGGAGACTCCTAGAGTGATGTCCAACCACATCATATATATTTCTCTGTTTTGTGTTGTGTTAGATTTCTTACTCTTCATTTCACTTTGATTCTTGAATGAGTAAATAAGAGTCCCAGGTTGAACTGCCTACAAGACAACTTATGGATGTGAAAGAATGTGAATACCATAATAAGTATGATACAAACATGTACGAACTGTTCCGAAGTAGCCCTAGTACTCGTGTGTATACCTTACTGCAGAAATGTCCCATCAAGAAACGATCTCTGATGCTGATAAGGTAAGTTGAATATTCGAAGCTTGAATGAGAAAAATATATAAATGAAAAAATCTAGTCTCATTGTTCAAGTCTAAGAATTTATACCTTCTATAAAACTCATGACTCACATGAATGTTTGCCAGCTGGACTGACCATATTCACTTCTGGAAAGGAGGAGGAATCATGATAGGAATGATGTTGCAAACTGGTTGCCACAAATACTCCGTTAGACTGAAGTTGACTTTCTGTTTCCTTGGATTAATTTATTCCCGTGACATATGACGCTACATGACGTGTGATCATCCAGGATTCTCTATACGAAGGTCTGTTGTTAACGCAGGATTTTCACCCTATATTTCTGGAAGCTGCAACCTGTCACCCCGAATCCCTTACTTGTTTACTTTACTCTTTTGTGATGAGTTTGAAGGTCTGTCAAAAAACATCACTCTAGTGCAATGCTTTAAATTTAAAATAGAGATCAAAGGTGAAATTTAATTAATTTTTTTATATTCAAATTCACTGATTTTGAAAATAATAGTTGAACAATTTTATTTAATTACATTGATTTCTGTTGTGATCGTAAAATTTGAAACTTACATGACTACATTTTGAATGTGGGAAGCAGTTCTAAATTTATTGTTAGTGTATTTTCAGTTAATAAGAATTTTCATGAAAAAAAAACTCCAATGTAAGTTTTTTGAATTCAAAAAACTTGATATTCATTTATTATAAAGTAAAAAAATTATAATTATTTGAAATATGTTACTATTTTTATTTATATTTTTACATTCTTAATTTTCTATTTTTCAAAATATGTATGATAAATGAAATTGCAAACTTCTTCTATCCAAAATAATTTTTGGCAATTTTAAGAATTATTTATCAATAAATTTAATATTTTTTTAAATATGTGTTTACATGTGTTTACATTTACATTTTTAACATGATCACATAAATTTCAAATAAAAATTTATACGCATAAATGATGGATGAGAAATAAACCACCAGATTTAACACAAAGTTCAATTTTTCTGGTGATCTTTTGTAAGATTAAATGTTTTTTTATAAGCGTTTAGGCTGTCTTCGAATAAAAAGAAGCAATTAAAAAAGTAGATTATAATAACGATGGTAATAAACAGAGTTTGATCATATTTATATCGGACTTAAAAGGGTATCAATATCTGTGTAGATGTCAAGTTTGTTATCCAATCATTGTAATTTTGATAGAAATGTAATCACATGTATTCATAAATTCATGGCAAATTTTCTAACCAAAATAAAAATTTTTAAATAATGCTTGTGGATGTTTTATATTTATTTATAATTATAGATGAAAAATAACTTAGCAATATAAAGAGCCTTTGAACTTGTAGAAGATAATTCTACACGGAAATTTTCATCTTCTTAATAAGGACCAGAGATGAGGAGCCAAACCGTTTTATGGACCAGAAGTTTTTCAAGGTTGAGGTTGGAATTGCTCCAATTGTGTAAATGTCAATAATGCTCATAAGTTCTTAAATTATTTTAGTTCATTGTCACTTAGGTTGCACAATATGCTACTTTTGTTGTTAGCCTTAAGTTGCCAAATATTATAAAAAAACTTCACGACCTGTAACTTTTGCAGTTAACATAGTTAGTTATTATTTAGCATATTGTAGGCAAGATATTTTCATTGCTCTTTGGAAAACACTAGCTAATGTTGTACACAATCAAAAATATTTTAAAATAATGAAAACTAACATGTTTGTATTATTTATAAATCATATTATCGAATTTTTTTTACATCAAGCATGATATTGACCATACCTTCAATTTGACCTATATGCCAGTTGGCCAAGGAAAAATTTTTGGACCTAAACTTAGGCAAAGTCTTCGACACAAGGTGTCAAAGACATGTCTACGACTTAGAAACATATTTAACTGAAATGTGAAGGAGCGTCGTGGATCCCTGAATTGGAAAGGTGCTTCAATCCCAAGGGTGAAAAGCGGCTTCGATTTGAGAGCTGGTAGAAAGTTGAACTTCGAGGTATTCGATCTGCTTGCAGAAAGGGCAGGAATGGCCTACAAATATGTTTGCAGTTTCCGAATCTGATTTTGACGGAATAAAGTGCGCAGATTAGATTTCGCCCAAATCGGATGATTTTGGAACTGGTGACATGGGAGAAATCAACCACAACCGCATCGACGTACACAACATGGGCAGCAGAGTATAGATCCTTAGGCTTTCAGCAGATTCCCTACAAATGCAAGGAATAATAATAGGCCAGAGGAGCGTAAGAGCAGACAAGAGGTGGAAACCAGGGACAACAAATGCGTAGACTCTGGATATTTGCATGGTATAGGTTTGTGCCGTCATTTGAACCAGGGAGAGCGAAAAAGTGCATGTAGTGAAATGGAATCCAGCAATGTAAAGCTCACAACTTCCTCATTGTACCGGTTCCAACATGTCCAGGAGCCGGTCTCGATCTAAGCTGAAAGAAGTAGGTTCAATCATGGGCAGATTTCTCTCTGCTCGGACCAACCTCTCAAGGTGGCTTCCAACGACTTCGGCCACACAAATTTGGAATGTTCTTTATAATCTCACGGCTTCACTGGAGAAGAGTGTTGGTTTTGAGACGATGGAAGCTTGTGATCATCTCAGGTCTCTGATGTAGTCCGGGGATATTTCTGAAAGCCTACAAAACATTAGCCTCACCTTCCTTATTTGAAGTATGGGCACAAGAAAAAACTTCAATTGATAGAGAAAAAAAGTATAAAATTTCAGTATCTACAAAGCGAAGTATTCCGAAACATTCAAGTACCTCACACGAGGTGGGAATGGCGTGTACGCTTTCCACCTCATTAAGCTGACATCCACACATAAGAAAGAAATAATACTCTAGAAGGAATAGGAACAAATAGAACTGTCGGTAGTCTTATTTCAGTGTTGAGTTCTGGTGGACATGGTGTGGCAAAACAGTAGCCTCTTATCGTGGACTGTTTCATGATTTTATCTACACTGTTCAGTTGGCATCCATCTGTCTGAACTTTCATTTCTTGCAAAGTTTCGAGGTCATGGGGTTTCAATTAATGAATGCTTGTCTGTTAGCGACCACATATAGAAAAGTACATTGGTTGCTTCTACTTGGACATAATCTTGGTGGAACGATTTCAACCACTTTTGAGAGCTCTAGGGCCTAGACTGTAAAGTTAGCCTCTGCTTACCTCTGAACAACTTTGTCGTACGTTTCGCTGGCCTTGAGGTCAAGTCTTGGCGCACTTCGCAAGCTCTAGAACAGAAACGATCGACGTTGGTCCGATGCAATCCGACGATGCCCTTCCGGAACCGAAGCTGTAGGCAGAACCCAGTTCGTTCTTATAAGGAAGTGCATGCAGTTATAGCGCACACTTTCCAGCTGCAGTATCGAGCGTTTTGCGCGCGGGGAGTCGCCATCTCGTTAATCCTTTTGCTCGCTATACGAAGCTTGAAAGGAAGACTAAAATTAATTGGAGCTATAACTTCACCTGTCCTGCGTGATCTGGACTCTGGCAACCTACACCAATCATCGACCGGATGCCTCCGCTTTCGGTGTTCGGAACTTTGGGCGGTAATCCTACTCCGAGGATGAGGACAGATCCAGACGAAGAGTAATCAGCATCAAAGGCTCTCAATGATTCAAGTGCATTGTTTGAAATCATTGCTATCTATAAGCAGGGCTTGTCACTTCTGGTTCCGCTGGCATTGGGGTGTAGGATGAGAGGACCCATTCCCAACCGGCAGAAGGAACAGGAACGGGGGCAAAATAATTAGCAACAAGGATGGGAAGACCTTAAAAATAACTGTATGCACGTTTGGTATATCATTGTCGACAATGCAGATGGCTTTGCCCGTGAAATTACATCGTATTAAATGTAAGTTAGGGGGCCCTGGGAAGTTGAAATTTTAAAAAGAGCGCAGTCGAATTACTCGAAGTGCAACACTAGAGAAGTTTGGGGTAACCTCGCTTGTAGCCCAAACGCAGAGTTTGCATTTATCTGAGATGTCTAGAAGTGCAACTGACCTAAATAATGTACTTCTCGAGCATTAACCACCTTGAATCCTCGAAACATTTGTAACCACAATTAACTAACAATTGCAAGAACGGAGGACCCTTGTTAGCCAAGTGGACAGTTCACAGATCGATTCGTCCGATATTTCAAAACTGCAAAATAATTCACTCGCACTTACAAACTTGTCCGTGTTGACCTCGTGAAAAAGAAATTAGCAATTCAACGTCAACCCCTGTATTTTCCAAGTCGTACCACCTCGAGCCGAAGCAGCATCGACGACTTGGATGCTGGGAAGAGAAGAAATTGGAAAACTGGGATTCTCGAAATCATAAAGAGTGGTCAGATCAAAGGAGTGGGTTCGCTCGTATTCTCTTCAACGCCGAACGAAGGGAGGGAGGGAGGTAGAGAGGGAGAGGGAGAAGGCGGTGGGCCCCGTTAAGGGGCGCGGGCAGGGCGGACGGACAGACAGACAGTCAGACAGAGAAGGAGAAAGGCCAAGAATTACCGGACGGCGAAATGGCTGCTGCTGCTGCGGCCGATGATGATGGCCCCATCGATGACCCAAGCCTGTCGTTATACGGTTCGCGCTACAGACCTGTACTGTATAACTGTACCTCGAGAGGTGGTACAGCGCCGGTCGTTGGCGGTCGGGTCCGGTTTCCGGTCTCGACAATCTTTGTCTCGTGACGAAGGAAGCCGCTGCAACTGGCACTAGAAATGGCACCAGCGGACTGCCGCACGCAACTTCTTCAGAGCCTCCTCCAATTTCGCGGGACCCCTCCAGACTCGGGATGTGAAAAATCGCACGCTAAATTAGACTGCCGAGAATAATAATCGTCTTTCCTTCCTTGCGGCGACGTCTTCGAATTGCATTTGAATGGCGCCACGTGCTTTTGGGGAAGATGAGAGAGCTCGAAATTGAGCGGCGAGAATCAGGTCGAACACGATGGGCCGTGGGTGGGCTAGATTCCAGACATGCGGGGCGGGGCGGGGCGGGGCGAGCGATGGAGGGACCTGCAAGTGGCAGACGGACGAGAGACGAGAGGCATTATGGGTTCGAAACTTACCGCAACCGGAGGCAGGCCGAGCGTTTGGCAAGCTTTGTGTCCGAGAGATCTCGTGCTTAGAGTTACTGTCGTAAGTGGGAAATAGCTGTTTTCGTTCGGGCTATATATTTGCCATGACTGCCTGAGGACTCTGGTCGCCACAAGGATGTCTGTGGCTCGAGCAGCCGCTGTGCCCTTCTTCCTCGACCTCGCCTCGCTCCGAGCCATAATACAAAGCTTTCACGTTCTCCCTCGGGATTCATAGCGAGACAGCGCCGTCGCTTGAGAAATTACCGATTCTCGCGCTGGACTTGTCACTGCTTCACTCTCTTCGGATGTCGTTGTTGTGAATCACATGGAGTCTTTATTTGAGCTTCCCGGTCTCAGAATCTTGATCGTCTGTACAAGTCTATGAGTCTGCGTTCTACTATCCGACTGTCACCTTCATGAACTAATTTGGTTTACAAATTTCAGTGGCGAGGTGTCTCGCGTGCGATCAGTTTAAAGCATGTGTGCCTGACGCCACCCGAAATTTCATGACGGAAAGAAACTTGTTGAGCCTCCCGCGCGGACGCTCTCTTTCAGGAACTATGTGAACGGGTCAGGAGCTGATTTTACATGTACTCCATGATGTCTAGTATCTTCTGCTCGATGGTGCGAGCACAGGAATTACGCAGGTGACAGAACTGGGGCAGCTTCAAGTCACGTCTGGAACCGGTGGATAGAACCTGGGTAGCAGTGTGCTGAAGCTCAGTCTGCAGCCTTCAAGATGGCGGCCTCCACCGGGCTGGATACCATGGACGTTTTCAATGAAAGGTCCATCATGCATCATCACAGAAGAAGTTCTAGCAGTGTGAGGACGAGTAGCAGATGGGGCCTCGGTGGAGATAATGTTTTCTCGCGGGGTTCTGAATCAAGAAGGGAAATTGAATTCGATGACGAAGAAGCTCTAAAGTGGGCTGCGTTAGAGAAGCTTCCAACCTATGATCGTCTTAGAACCACAATTCTAGAAAAGATGCAAGGCAACAAGGTGGAGCACGAGCAAATTGACCTGTCACAGATTGGGCCTGATCAACGACAGGAACTCATTCAGAAGCTGTTCGGTTTTTCCAGTCCTGAGGAAGATAATGCAAGGTTTTTATACAAATTACGTGACCGAATCGACAAGTGAGTTCTTACTAGCCCACGTCTCATGTATTGGAGGCCTACAGTGCGTGTATGATTATTTGCTCTCCTAGCCTCCTGTTCTAGCGCCAAAGTTCCCAGGTGAATCGAAGACTACCAGTTCGGTTCCATCTTTGTACCTAGTTGACATTGTGAAGTTGGACATACCAATTCGGTTTGCTCCTGGTCGAGGTGATGTTGCGTTATATCATATTTCTGGAACTATTGACTGCAGTTGACCTCTTATTTGACCAAGAAATCTTCCTGTCTTGCTTTAAGGTATAATGAACTGTTCTAGCACGTGCCCTACCTCTTGTCTACCTCGAATTCAGTTTCCTCGAGTAACTTGTCCCGACATGCCATAACTGAATATCTAAGTTGATTGCATGCATGCATCACGTGTTGTTTGTGAAGAGAATTCCTCTAGCTGACAAATTTATGAACTCAGTACTGGCTGACTCCAAGCATACTAGTGCATGGATGGAATCACTGTAAGATCTAATCTCTCCAGACTGACATACGCTCTAATACATCGAATCGGCGTTGTCCTTGCCCAGAGTGGAGATCCCGCTTCCTACAGTCGAAGTTCGCTTTGAACATTTGAATGTCGAAGCAAAATGTCACGTTGGTGGGCGAGCTCTACCAACACTCTTCAATGCCGCACTGAACACCGTTGAGGTCAGTGGAGTAAATTACATATTGTAAAGTTCACATATTTTACTGACAAAGTCTTCACGCATGGAAGTCTTCCATGAGCCTCAGGAAGTAACTGTTCAAGCTCCCCGGCTTTCAGGGATGGTTGAATACTATCGGAGTGCCCGTGACAAAGAAAAGAGATATCACCATTCTCAACGATGTCTCTGGAATTATCAATCCGGGCAGGTAGCCATTCGACCCATCTTCTCAATCCCAAGCTTACGGCCTTATCAATCTCGTTTCAATGTTTGTCCTGCTTTTCAAATTTGGTATCCAATCTGATCCGTTTGTGTTCAGGATGACATTGCTCCTGGGCCCCCCTGGCTCCGGGAAGACTACGTTCCTGCTCGCTCTAGCTGGAAAGCTAGACAAGGCCTTGAAGGTACACCTCGAAACACGGATAACTTGCAATTCGTGTTCACGTATTGTTCCTAGTGGTTCACTGTTTCTGGAGATTTCGAGTATTCTTGTTCGAGTTCTTTCAGTAAGACAACGATTGAAATTGACAGGTACAAGGCAAAATTACCTACAACGGACATTCTTTGCACGAATTTGTGCCTGAAAAAACGTCCGCTTACATTAGTCAGAATGACTTGCACATCGGTGAGATGACCGTGCGTGAGACACTAGATTTTTCTGCCCGATGCCAAGGAGTTGGAACTCGTTATGGTGAGCAATCCCCAAACTTTTGCCTCTTCTTAAACGTGAAAGTTTCTCAATCACAGTTCCTGCAACGTTTCTGTTTGTTCGTGGACACAATGGCTGGCAATGCTTGAAACGAGTCTCTATAAGAACCCAAGATGATTTATTCTGTTCTGTTCAATTGCCACGCAGTACAGACTTAGTACGCTTTCCATAATTTACTGATAGCACATCATGAGATATCCAGATTCTGAGAAGTACATTGCATTGGAATGTACAGAGCTTTTGAGCGAGCTGTCCAGGCGAGAGAAGGAGTTGGGTATTCACCCCGATCCCAGCATAGATTTCTTCATGAAAGTAAGTCCCTACTTTGAAATGATCGTTCTCTTTAACGTAAGTTTTCTCCGAAGTTATGATACCCATGCCATTTAAACCACTGAAGCTGTAAAGCTCTTGTGTGCACATTGCAGGCGACAGCCATGAAGGAGAATTCAAGTGCTCTTATCACCGACTACACTCTGAAGGTCAGTCAAATCGATTTACTTGAGCGTTGTACACACTGACTCGCTTAACTGCGAGTTGTATTTCATTTTGTGCCCATGGAGTTAATTTTCCCGCTTGGTCTACTCTCTCGCGCCGAAGAGTTATCTGATTCAAAATTGCTGATTAAGTGGTCTGTCTACAGATCTTAGGTTTGGACGTGTGTGGGGACGTCGTCGTTGGTGACGAAATGCGCAGAGGAATATCTGGAGGCCAAAAAAAGAGGGTGACCACAGGTACGAAAAAGCACGCAATCTACGTCGGCTGATCAGTAAAATTACGGGCCATTTATTTGAGCAACACGTTTTTGTCACCTCTATATGCTCTAATTTTACATCATTTTCTCAGTGACTAATTTGTTAGCATTACACTTTCTCAGGAGAAATGATTGTGGGGCCTATGAAGACTTTATTCATGGATGAAATCTCCACTGGATTGGATAGTTCTACAACGTTTCAAGTTGTGAAAGTTCTTCGCGACGTCACTCATGTTTTGGAGTCTACGATTCTGATGTCTCTTCTCCAACCAGCTCCGGAGACTTTTGATCTATTTGATGATATAATTTTGCTTTCTGAGGGTCAAGTAGTATACCATGGCCCGAAAGACAACATTTTAGAGTTTTTTGAGAGTTGCGGTTATAAATGTCCGGACCGGAAGGGAGTAGCTGATTTTCTGCAAGAGGTACGTGAAACAGCTAAGAGCAATTGTGTATGCTAAGGTTGCTGGAATGAGAACTTCCGAGAAGATTTTGTAGGCTGGCAAAAATGAGTGTTCCTTTAACTGCATCGACAGTGACAAAGGTTTTGATTGCGGGTAAAAACTGTCTTGAATCTGTTTGGCAGGTAACATCCCGGAAAGATCAAGAACAATATTGGTTTGATAAGTCCCGACCATATCAGTACACTTCCGTCAAGGATTTTGTGGAGGCCTTCAGGATATCTCCGGTTGCACAAGCGACGTCTGATGAATTACAGCATCCGTACGACAGATCGAAGAGTCATAAGGCAGCCCTTTCCTTCGACAGAAATTCTGTCACCAACTGGGAGATTTTCAAGATTTCTTACGACCGAGAATGGTTGCTAATGAAAAGAAATTCTTTCATCTACATTTTTAAAACCGTGCAGGTATTGTAATACCTAATCTCAGTCATAAGTACTTACAGCAATCTTGCTCTAATCACGTCGTGGACAGTGAACCAGGTAAATGCTCTCTTAACGTACATGCATTGTGATCTAAAAGTCTGAAACGCGTGTCGGTTTTAAACTGCAGATCGGAATCATGGCTCTCATTGCAATGAGCGTATATTTCCGTACCGAAATGCCCCGAGAAACTTTACAGGATGCTCAAGTCTTTGGTGGAGCTCTCTTCTTCGGTATTGTCAGCATTATGTTCAACGGCTTTGCCGAGTTGGCTATGACTATCGTTCGGCTTCCCGTGTTCTATAAACAAAGAGACCTTCTATTTATACCAGCATGGTCTTTCAGTTTAGCGACATTTATCTTGAGACTTCCCAGTTCTCTCTTCGAATCGATGATGTGGATCATCATCACTTATTATACGATCGGCTTTGCCCCTGCTGTTGGCAGGTATGAAATTGAAGTATTGTTCATCTGGTTTCGATAATAGAGTGAACATGGTCATTATTTGCTCCTTCAAACCGTATGTGGCAAGTGTTATGCAGGAGAAACGAGAAACTAGGCAATATCAGAAGATTTGGACTGATGGCTAAAACATAATGAGGATTCCCTTTTCTTGACCGTACAGGTTTTTCCGACAGCTGCTTCTTTTCACTTGTACACATCAAATGTCATCAGCGCTTTTTCGTCTGATTGCCGGACTCTGCCGTACCATGATTGTCGCAAACACAGGAGGATCATTTTCTCTCCTCGTCATCTTTGTGCTTGGAGGATTCCTTGTTCCTAGAACCTCTATAAAACCTTGGTGGATTTGGGGATACTGGTCTTCTCCTCTATCTTACGCTCAACTGGCAGTTAATGTCAACGAGTTCCTAGCTCCACAATGGGACAAGGTAATTTCTAAGCTCTATTTTCTCTCTTACAAACAAAATCGCTGAATGGCTTCATGCGTTCAACACTTTATGTTGAATTGGTGTATCAGTTTATATCCCTTCGGTTTTATTGGTTCACTATCTCAACATATTGCTCTGTTCTTGCAGATTGAAGAAGGTTACACAGAGACTCTGGGAATCCGTTACATCAAGTCTATGGGTGGTCTGACAAGGGGTTATTGGTTCTGGATCAGCATTGGCGCTTTGATTGGATATACTATACTGTTTAACATTTTGTTTACTCTTTCCTTGACATACTTGGATCGTAAGTTGCTCTATCTTCTTACTGTTGGACAACTTTGCATTCCAGACTGTGTTTTACATCCGTTACATCCAATCCACCCCGAAGTGTTTGTTCTTGATGTAGTTGTTGAAAATTTTGTTGTCCATTTCTTACAATTGAACGCCATTTGGTAGTTGACATTGTTGTTTGTTTTTTTTTATCTTCGCGGCAAAAGCCATTGGCAAACCTCAAGCTACCATATCTGAAGAAACGCTAGCCGAACAGGAGGCTAATCTCACGGGTGAAACTCGCATGTCTTCTTCAAAGAGGTCCATTCCCCGATCACTGTCTGCTGCTAATGGTAAGATCATTATGCCACAGTTTTCAATTAAGAAGGAAGAAGCTTCCATACATGAGGTTTTTTTTCTTAATTGTCTAATGTTTCTGAATTTTCAGGCAACTCTTTCCAATATCGTCGAAGTTCTCTCAGCGTAGACAGACCGGACGTTGGGGAATTAGCCATGTCCAGAATGAGTTCTTCATCAGTGGTCAGAGAATCAATGGAGTTAGATCGGGCGGCCGGAGTCGCACCAAAACGAGGCATGATTTTACCATTCCAACCTCTGTCTATCAGCTTCAACGAAGTGGAGTACTTCGTCGATATGCCAGCAGTACGTTTCCTTCCCAGTTACCGATTATTTTCTTTCTCTGTCAGGGTGATGATGTTTGTCATTGATCTGACTTCATAGCCTCAATTACTGAATAATTCCTCCGGCTTGCATTTAAATTTGCTGGCTGCAGAAGAGAATTAAGTATAGAGGATGAGTTGCTTTGCTCACATTTTGCTTCCAAATGAAATCGTATTTTGCACGATGGAGGCCTTCTAATGCACTGTATTCACACATGGTACATTGTCTAACACATAGACAATGTACCATACTTTCCTTGATAGTTTTTAATTGCGTTTGCTTCTTTCCATCTGCTTTCGATTACCGAACATCTGTTTAGCTTTTCAGAAATTGAGGGCTTTGAATTATCATAGGCTCGTCCATCCAAAGGTGCTTCTGTAGACACTTGTGCTGATTGTTTTTTTTACCTGTGATTATTCAGGAAATGAAGGCCCAGGGTGCTGAAGATGATAAACTACAGCTTTTGCGAAATATGACCGGAGCTTTCAGACCTGGAGTTCTCACCGCTCTCGTAGGAGTAAGTGGTGCCGGGAAGACCACTCTCATGGATGTGTTAGCTGGAAGAAAAACTGGGGGCTACATCCAGGGTGATATCAGGATCTCTGGCTTTCCCAAGAAGCAAGAGACTTTTGCTCGGATATCTGGATATTGTGAACAAACCGATATTCATTCCCCACAAGTTACTATACATGAATCTCTTATTTACAGCGCTTGGCTTCGACTGTCGAAAGATATCGATGACGAGACCAAATCGGTATGTTGTGAAATAACTTGAGTTTTGTCCTTTGTGGATCCAAAAATTGTACACAGAATTTGTTTACTTTGCCGTTAATCCAGTATTCATTTCATGTCGCAGAGATTTGTATACGAAGTTATGGAGTTGGTGGAGCTGACATCTCTGAAGGACGCACTAGTTGGTCTTCCGGGTGTGTCCGGACTGTCTACCGAGCAGCGGAAGCGGTTGACTATTGCCGTAGAACTTGTAGCCAATCCTTCAATCATCTTCATGGACGAGCCGACTTCTGGTCTCGACGCTCGTGCTGCAGCTATTGTAATGAGAACAGTTCGAAACACTGTTGATACAGGGCGGACTGTGGTGTGTACGATTCATCAACCAAGTATTGACATATTTGAAGCTTTTGACGAGGTATGTTTCTCTTTCATCTATTGAAACCCTTTCTTCTAACACATAGGCAGTTTATGCCGTTACTTTCAGCGTAATTGTAGACAATCGACCTTGAAATTCCTTGCACCACTAACTTCAGATATCACCTGCAGCTCCTTTTACTGAAGCGTGGAGGGCAAATAATTTACGCTGGGCCATTAGGTCGACAGTCTCACAAACTGGTGGAATTTTTTGAGGTAAAATTGAAATTTGCTATTTCCTCTTGGAATCTTTATATGTCACTTCCTTCATGTTTGACTTGTATATCTCAGGACTGTCAGTATATGCAATGTTAGTCTTATCCTTTCAGGATAATCTTCTTACTTCATCGACAATTAATGTTTCCAGGCAGTACCTGGCGTACCTAAGATCAAGGAAGGATACAATCCAGCTACTTGGATGTTGGAAGTCAGTAGTATGGCCGTAGAGCAGCGGCTTGGAATAGACTTTGCTGAGTACTACAGAAAGTCCTCTTTATATCTGTGAGTTGTATTCTTCTCACTATCCATCGTTGCTTGTCCCATTCAAGGCTGCAGCTTCTGATCAATTCCGCTCAGTCTTATAGACGATTTCAGTTGTGAGGAGTTAATTAACGCTTCACCTTGGTGCAGGCGAAACAAAGCTTTGGTTGATGAACTTAGTATCCCTGCTCCAAACGCCAAAGACCTCTGGTTTCCCTCTCAGTACTCACAAACGTTTCAAGCTCAAATATCCGCTTGCTTGTGGAAACAAAACATCACATATTGGCGAAGCCCAGACTACAACAATGTGCGGTTCTTCTTTACAGTTGGTGCAGCACTACTTTTTGGCTCAATTTTCTGGAACATGGGGAATAATAGGTAAGCTGTTTTAAGATCTCTGTAAATGTAAGCTTTGATCTTATTTTTGTAATAGGCTTTTTGCAAAATCTGATTCGCGCTATATACTGCGTGATGCTCCTTACCGCTCACTAAGTTGCCAGAGTAGATATTTAAAACGCGATTTCATTTCTTGTTATCGTACAGGTCCAAGGAAAGTAATCTGTTCAGCATTTTGGGAGCGATGTACGGTGCAGTTTTATTCATTGGCGTAAATAATGCTTCGACAGTACAACCTATTATCTCAACAGAACGTACAGTGTTTTACAGAGAACGAGCTGCAGGGATGTACTCAGCTGTACCTTATGCCATTGGTCAGGTATCTATTTACATTTGATATGCTTCCACACATACCTTGAGTGCATCAATTTACTTGCTTTAGTGTTCATGATGATGTGTGCTACATCAACCTTGGTTCTAAACTCGAATTGCTCACACGAACACGTTTGTTGTGGCAGATCCTCATTGAGTTACCGTATATACTGCTACAGACTTTGCTCTACTCCTTGATCACTTATGCCATGATAGGCCTGGAATGGACTGCAGTGAAATTTTGCTGGTACTTCTTTTTCATGTTCTTCACATTTCTTTACTTCTCATACTACGGAATGATGGCGGTTGCTCTCACACCCAACCATCAACTTGCATCCATCGTGGCGGCGTTCTTTTACTCGATTTTCAACCTCTTCTCAGGCTTTCTCGTAACCAAAACGGTGAGTAGATCAAATTTTCCGAAAGCAACGTTTCTACAGGTGTCTTGGACTTGGTTATAAATCTTGACTGTAACTGTTGATGATACGCATCTCTTATCCACGACTAGAATTTGAGTCTGGGGGAAGGGAGTGTTGAAGTGGCAAGATGAGGAGCCCGCATGTTGTTACCGTGTTACTGATTACGAGCCACTGACATGTTATACATCTTGTATTTGTGGTCTGTACGTTGGACATTGCAGAGAATTCCGATATGGTGGATCTGGTATTATTGGGCATGTCCAGTATCTTGGACCCTGTATGGCTTACTGGCATCACAGTTTGGTGACGTGACGGAGGTGTTAACCCTGAATGATGACTCGCAAAAAATGGTGAAGGATTTCATCAAGGATTCTTTTGGATTTGATTACGATTTCCTTCCGGTGGTGGCGATCATGCTTGTAATCTTTCCAGCGCTTTTTGGATCGATTTTCGTAATCGCCATCAAGTTTTTTAACTTTCAAAACCGTTAAGCAGGAGTGTCTTCAAGCTATATACTCTTTTTGCAGACAACCAAGTACCTCTCCTGCAAACACCAGTGGTTGAAGACGAGTGTACTTCATCACGCAGCGCAAATGAGCTGTGCGTAGGGTGTTAACCTAATATGAACATCCGGACAGCATTCTCTTCTCTACATTCTACTGCGAATTGTGCAAAGGGGGGAACGGACTGATCACTGCATTATCGTTGCACTTGAGGAAGTCGGAAATGAGGTCTTTTAACTCTGGAAGAATTCTGCTATCTTGATATGATGAAGCATAAGTTTTGTTCAATAGGTTTTGAGGGCAGAAGCTTCTTCATTCTGCTTGTTGTACGATAGAGTTGTGTATAGACGAACAAAGCGATGGTGCACTCGTAGAGGGTAGCAACACTAGATAATTGTCAGGCGAATCAGATTCGCAGGACATAGATTAGAGGAGCAAAAAGTAAATACTGAGTTGGTGGAAATACTGTAGTGATGGAAAAAGGCTTAAGCCAAACCTAAGTATTTTCTGGTGAGAATATGTTCAAGTTTTACGTTGTAACCAACGGGTAGAATGATGGAAAGGATTTACCTGCTCTGTGTGACACAGTCTGTGAACACGTAACCCAATTGGACAACTTCTTAATGGAAAGGCTGCAACTCAAACTTAAAGACCTAATCTTCCTTAAACGATATTGTTGCTTAAAACACGTCCACGCTCTCACAAAATACGTCAACAATGTCGTTTTATGGAGAAACTAGTCATCACTTATGTACTGAAGCTGCAATCCTTTTCGATGAGCAGCCATCGAAATTGGACATCAACTCTTCAACTATATGTCCACTTTATAAGCAGTCTACAATAGCTTCCGCCCAAATACGTAACTTGAACTTGAAAGGAATGTGCTTACTTCTAATCGTTCGATGCAACTGCAATGGCCAAAATATCGAAGTGTATATGTCTCAATGAGTCCCAGACATAATAGAGAAGTTGAGCACAAAAGGCTCTGGCCTGCAAGTACAATGTTAGTGAAATATCTATCACGATAATTATAAATCCTTCACGAGGTGTGGGACAATAGTAGCAAACCCTAAAGCAATCTCCTTAATGTGTGCGTCCCTATTCGACGGGTGTGTCCTCTACTGCAAGACATACCCGTCTTGCAGTAGAAGACTTTTCGATACTTTGTTGTTCGTTTCACCTAGCTTCAAGACATCCTTGCTGCCAGTATGGTCTTGCCAACCTCCCTGTTCCGCTCAACTCTCGGCATCGCCGAAACGAATAGTATTGCATCGAGTTTATTGTTACGGACTTCAAATTATCTAAATCACGGAAAGGGAGCGGAAATCAACAACTCATACTTGATTGCTCGCGGTTTTAGAAAACCTCTACTTGATTATTTCTGTATATGATCTTGAAAACATCTACAATATAGACGTTTTGTAGATCATATTTTAGTCTCGTCTATATTGTAAACGAGACTGGCATGTTTATACTCTTACGACCAAGATATAGTCTTTTGATTCCAAAACCCTAGAGAGAAGAAAAAATCCTACGATCAAACTTTTGTTATTGTCTGCACAAATGTGGATTCTCACAAAATTCCTTGGACATTGATTGGCAAAATAGAAAGCATCTATCTGTATAAAATAACGCCAATAATCTATTGTATATTTCAGACAAGTTGAAACTTGCATGAATGTCAAAACTTAATGAGATTGATTCAACAAAGTGTTTCTTCTAGAAGTGAAGAAATGAAACGGACATAGGGTTTTTTTCTATTGGAAAATTTACTAAGACACTTTGATGCTTTTGAATGTGACAATGTTAGCTCGTTTTCTTTTTACAAATTTGATTAGTTAAAAACAATCCTACAATATGATCATAATAGCAAGGTCGTTTCCAACTAGTGCATATATTTTTCAAAGCTGCAAGATGTTTATAATCACAACTATGAAAAAAGTATTCAAATATCTTAATATCAAGTATATTATTGACTTTTATGAATTGGATAAGCACACAAAATTTTGAAAGAAAGTACATGGTGGAGGATTATGACGCAATGCTATTAGAGTTGTATGAAAATATTCAACTGTTGTGAGTTATGTGAAAGAAGCTTGAGAATCCATTTCATCAAGCTCATCAAGCCATGAAAGGATATGCAATTACTTTTGGAAATGAATTATATGTATTAATACGTATTATACGTCATGCCTTATTTTAGGTGATAAGGCACGACTTCTAAATTTTAGAATTTGTCTAGAGAATTCCAGAATTAATCAATATTAAAACTTGCGGCGTCAATAGATTAAGTACGTAGTGAGTATCATAACTGAAACTATTTTTTTGATACATGTTCAGCACAAGATAGTTTTGCTTTTGACTCCATTGATAATATGCCACGTAATTTTCATTTCTATTGGATTTACCGTGAAAACCAACACGATGTATTTGTCTCCATCACACACGTAGTCTTTGTTTTTCTCATACTTACCACAAGATTGAGAAGTAAAATTTATCTCTATTGGACTTGCCACCGATACTAAAAGCGTGTTGTTTTTATTCATCGTTGTTTCATGTCGTGGCAATTTTTCCATTGAAACAAAGATTCTATGATATCAGTTGTCATGATGTCGAGTTCTGGATTGACGGTTGTTGTTATAAAAAATACAAAAAAAGTCAACTCATTTTCAACACAGACACGAATTAGAAATTGGATTGCAGATCACTCACATTAAAACAACGCCAAATCTATCTTTTCTGTTCAGATTGGTAAACTCGATCAAGGCCTCAGAGAGAGGGTTCTCGGCTCCCCGGTATTTTTGAAGAAGATTACATCAGTACAATGTCTATTTCGCGTTCACGGTGACAAAAAGATACAATAGGAAAAAGTGAAAAGACAATGCCATGGTATGGCAGATCTTCAATCTCGAATTTTATCAAAATCATGATCAAAGATAACATGCAAATGCATGTACCGAGTATCAAGCTTTATTGAAGGAGAAGAAGAAGAAATATTTCTCGAATGTATCAAAAAATGTTGAATCCTATTTTGACAAGAATTTCATAAAGCTTATATTCACAATCAAAGCTTCGATAGTGGTGAATATTATTCGAGAATTGTTATCAATACAAAATATGATGAGAAATAAGACAAAGAGTAGGCTTGGCCACGGTCCGGTTAACGGTTAACCGATCCGGAAAATTTGTGGACCGGCTAACCGATCAAATTAACCAGTTAATCGGTATATTAACCGGTCCAAGATTGGTCCGTATCGGTTACGGTTAACCGATATTTTTAACCGGTCCCGACGGTTAACCGATTAATCATCGGTCCGGACCCCTACGTGGCCGATGGGGAGGAGCTTAATACCCAAAAATTCTTGACGGCGGAGGGAAAGAGGTGGGCCGCGACTCAAATGAGCCCACGGTTGTACGTTCCGAGACTCGAGCTGAATTGTACCAATTTGTGAAAAAGAATTTTCGCAAATTTTCTCACACTGAATCACGAAATGGGTACCTCGCTAGTCTGATTCTGCTGCCAGAGGAAATTTTTTTCCCGGACCGGTTAACCGATCGATTAACCGGTCAGGAGAAATCTCGGACCGGTTAACCGGCGGTCCGGACCGGACCGTGGCCAAGCCTAACAAAGAGCTTATCACTCTAGCGAACGCTTTGAAACTTATAAAGATTTAATAAGGCGTTTCCTATTGTGTCAAAATTAAGAACATATTTTGATTCAATGTTTGTTTGATCGCACATCAGCAAGTCTTTCATTTTGCTTGACGGCAGCTGTGATCAAGCATCATCAAACATGCATCAAGAACGCAAAATTGATAAGATTAAATGATCACATAGTCGTTCAGTACATTCGCATTATTGTTAGCACGAATTATTGTAGCATATTGTGACAACCTTCAAATTATTGTAAATATTCTAGCACATCTTGAAGTGGGGACTTTTGCCTTGGCATTTGATGAAAGCGGACATCATGGCACAACTTTACTTGACATACACTTTTGGGTTTGTGTCAAATGTATATTTGATAATTTGCATCTTGTTGTGATTCCACATTTTAATCGTCACACAGTGATTAATACGTTGATTATGACAATGAAAATCTTGAATAGTCTCTACGAACTCCGGTGCGATAAGCTCATGAATGTTGCAACTGATAGTGATAGAACAAATACTCGACATGTTGGTGAAATTGTGACTCTTCTTGATTAAGAAGCTATTCATTTGATTCTTAGTATAAGATATACTACTCATCAAATTGATCTTGTGATCAAATCAATCGTTTGGCTCCAAACAAATTGGAAGAATGCAAAGCTCAAGTGGAGGAGATGTTGAGCAAGGGATTCATTCAACCAAGTGTTTCACCTTATGGAGCTCCAGTATTCTTTGTGAAGAAGAAGGATGGATCCATGAGACTATGTATTGATTATCGCGGGTTGAATCAGCAAACGGTGAAAAAAAAAAATCTATTACCTCGTATAGATGATTTGTTTGATCAACTTCAAGGAGCGAAGTACTTCACCAAGCTAGATCTGAGAAGCGGCTACAATCAAATTCCAATTGCAGATGAAGATGTTCACAAGACAGCTTTTCGTACTAGGTATGGACACTTTGAGTATCTAGTGATGCCTTTTGGTCTTACTAATGCACCGGCTACATTCATGGGATTGATGAACGATATCTTTCGTCCTTATCTAGATAAATCTGTCATTGTTTTTCTAGATGATATATTGGTGTATAGCAAAACTTTGAGTGATCATAAAAGTCATTTACGAGAGGTACTTCGAGTTTTAAGAGACAATCAATTGTATGCCAAAGCTTCAAAATGTGAATTTGGCAAGTGAGAAGTAGACTACTTGGGTCATAGAGTTACAGCTACAGGAATCCAAGTGATGAGTGAGAAGATAGATGCCATTCAGAAATGGATAGCACCTGAGGATCAAACTCAATTGAAGAGTTTTCTAAGGCTCACTGGATTCTATCGTAGATTTGTGAAAGGTTTTGCTCGCCTAGCTTAGGCCTTGACTTCCATGTTAGTGAAAGGTCAAAAATGGAGATGGGGAACAACTCAAGAGTTAACTTTTCAAGCATTGAAAGATGCTTTGTTACACGCACCTATTCTCAAGTGGTATGATCCTAACCGTTCTATCAAGTTGGCCACTGACGCATCAGGTACAACAGTAGGTGGCATACTTCAACAAGAATGCGAGGATGGATGGCATCCAGTTGTTTTCTATTCTCAAAAGTTGGTGGCGGCGGAACAAAATTATCACACGACAGAACGGGAGGAGTTAGCCATCGTGTTGGCAACCAAACATTGGAAGCATTACTTGTGGTGGAGACTGATCATAAACCCTTGGTTTATTTGGAAACTCAGAAGGATCTGTCCAAACGACAAATTCGATGGGCAGAGTGGCGTCAACGCTTCAACATGAAGATTGTGTACGTGGAGGGAAAGAAGCAACTTGCAGATGCTCTCACACGCATGCCTTGTTTGAATCATGTTGCAGAAGTGAAAATTCAGGCAGATTGGTGGAGCAAGATGTCACAAGCCACAAAGGAGGATGAAGAGATCACTCGGGCACTACAAACTGGAAAGGCAGAGAAATCTCGAGGTTTGGCGTTTTACAATCAGCGTATATGGATTCCACAAGATCACAATTTGCGC